CCCCCTCTCTCTCTCTCTCTCTCCCCCTCTCTCCCCCTCTCTCTTGAAACTCTCACCCCAACTCCGCGCAGCTGCTTCATTGCGGATAGGCCAGGTTGAACGAGTTGGAAGAGGAGGGCACGAGCATAACACGCCAACTTTGACCCCTTTCTTTCTCTCGCTCTCTCTTGTTGGTCTCGTCTCGTGTCGTGTCCCACCGACCGACCGACTGACTGACCCCAGGTACAAGGGGACCAGGCTCGACGGCGAGAAGGAGTTTTACGAGACCTACTTCGGCGGGGATACTCGGGCAGAAAACGTGATGATTTCTGCGGATGACGGCGGGAACGCCGCCACTCCTCTCGGGCTGCAGGCCATGCAGGAGGTGGGACACGTTAAAAAGAACGAAAAAATATATACGCTGGCTCGGGCTCTCGCTTGCGGAGGGGATTCAGCAGTTTCGTCGCGCATGTGTACACATGACGTCTGTTTGCGCAGGGAAATCAGCTGTGCTGCGCACGTGCACACCTGGCGTATCTTTTGACAATATACAGGGGGCGCCATTGGGATGTTCACTTTTGCATCCGGGTTGTTCTTATGTTTTGATTTTGAAACAACGTTGTGTAGCAGTTATTCGTATCTTTTTGCCGCCGACGTCGTTTGGCAATGTAGGGGCGCCATTGAAATGTTCACTCTTCCATCTGGTTCTTGCATCTTGAAACAGAGTTAGTTGTTTGTCTGTCGTTTCGCCGTCGACGGTGGCCACGAACACGAGCAGGCGGTCTCGTCGCTCATCCCGGGGGGCGACGGGGAGATCACGTACGAGCGCAGCGGGGAGAGCTACGGGGTGGCCGACACCTGCCAGTCGGCCACCGTCCCGTCCTACTTCAAGCCCTACAACAACACGGCCGAGTCGCCCTTCGACTGGGCGTTGACTGGGGCCTTCATGTCTTACGGCTACCGGTGAGTTGGAGTGACGTCTGCGTGCCGCTGAATCGCTACTTCGCGTGCTCGCCACCTGCGGCACACGTTGGAGGAAAGGGGGGGGGCTGGGGTGAGGGGGTAGAGCACGCGCTGTTCGGTCGTTGGCTTGAAATCGGGCGGGCCTCGTGAAAGAGCCTTTACGTGCCCCGCGTCTGGTTGCCGTTGAGTGACACTAGCGTGCATAGAATTGAATTGAGTAGTCTGCGTGTTCGTGTCCATAGTTGGAAGTCACGACGACGACCACCACCACCCTTAGCGCCAGACACACCATTGAAGCCACCCCACCCCCTTGGTGTGCATATTGTTACGTACATGGTTGGGGCTGTCCTCGCCGCACTCAGGGACGTGTACCTCTGCGCCAAGGAAGGGGTGGGTCCGATTCCTCTGCCCGCGGAGGACCTCCCCGCAGGGTGGGGGATCGATAGGTTCCCGTGCTCGAGGCTGTCCCCGCTCGACTGCTTCCAGGAGGGAGGTTACGACTGTGAGTTCTTGTAGCAGATGCTTGCTTTTGGTGTGTTCGGCTACCGTTAGATAACGTACCCCGTGGACAGATTTTCAAAGCTCGACTACTCCACTACGAAGATGGTTGTACCAAGACCAAACGATACGTGTACGGAAAGCTTTCGGTGCGACCGGTTCAAGCGCTGGTTTCTTGTGTCACCTTGGCGTTTTTTTTCGCTTCAGAGTAGTCAAGTTTGACAATGGGTCGAGGGGGTGTGCTACCTTTCACACCCGACGGTGATATTGTAGGTGTGCCCTGGAAATCAGTTTCTGCCACGCTGGGAACGTCGGGGTTATAATTGCGGTTCGGTTAGTTGTGCCCGGAACCCATTTTTCATGTGCGCTGAGAAACACCCACGGCTTTTTGCTCACACCCTACGGTGGCGCACTGTAGGTGCCTCGCAGCGGTGGTGTTGAGCGGCTCTTGTAGCCAGTCTGGTGAATGAACGAGGTAGACCTTCGCCAGTGCCATTACTGTTTGGGGTGCCAATCGGGGCGATTTTGGCGGCAAAAAAGTGACCGGTCTATTCGAGGATTTTGAGAAAAAAAAAAGGGGGGCACGCGGACTTTTTGGTTCTCAAGTCAGCTCTTGAATCATACCGATCAAAGTATACTTTATCCTCCGTACTTTGTATAAGTAGCTCTGCGTCCAGGCAGCGACGTGGCTCGTCATACGTTGCACACATCTGGACACAAGTCCAATAGAGGACACTGCAAGCTCGGTTTATGCTTAAGTTTATAGGGCGGATGAACAACCCAGAAAAACCTACAAATTTCAGCTGTATGGCCAATGCCCGAGGCCGCCTCTGACTTTCTTGAGAAAGCGAGCTTGCAGTGCACCACCTTGGGAGTTAGACCACACAACACAAAAGACCGAACTGGAATCGCTCAAGTCAACAGCGAGATCTACATGTCTGAAAATGGTCTTCCAAGCGGGTCTCCTGCAGCGCCTGTCAGGGAAGCACAGCAGCAAAAAAAACGTAACCAAAAAAAAAAGAGGCGCGTTTTTGGTGGCGGCAGCAGGCGAGCCGCGAAGAACCTCAGGAAAAACCAAGCCAAGTACGAACAGGCGTCGGGGCAGTCTGTGTACGCCGCCTGCGCAGCGTCAAACACACGGCGTGCGGTCGAAAGGGGCGGTGTTGCCGCCGCACAGAAAGCGCTGACAGAAAAGGAGCATGAGTTGGTCGAAAGTAAACAGCGCGAGGCGGCAAGCACCGCTGAGTGCAGCATGGCTCAGGAGCTCGCGCGCGAGAGCACCGAGGCGCTCAAGGAGGAGAAGGCTAAGAGAGCAGAGGCAGAGCGGTCGCAGCAAGAGGCAGAGCGGAGGAAGCAAGAGGCTGAACGAGACAAGGCGAAGGCGGAGGCGGTGGGCGTAGATGATGGGTGCTTCCTCGCTGCTGCTGTTTTTTTCGCCAGCAGCAGGAGGAGCACTGCTTCCTCCAGCAGGAGGAGTCCGCGCGGTCCCACCGCCCGGCGGCTGTTCGAGTGAGCCACCAGGCATGTTTGCTAGGTTGCGGACGGCGCTAGGGTGCCGCTAGGGTGCCGTGTGCAACCTCCACGGCACGGCGGAACGCGTTCACACACGCTTCGCGCTCGCGGGGCGTCAGGTGTTTTTTGGTTCTGGCGGGGTTCTTCGGAGCGTTCGATGTGATTTTATTGGCTCGAGCGATTTTCCATCTGGAAGATCCAGGACACTTGTCGAAATTTTTTCCTGTAGGAAATTTGACCGATTGGCACCCCTGACTGTAAACTAGATGAAGACACAGCCCCCCCGTGTAGGCGATGGTAACCCCGTGCTCCCGATCCTAACCGCCTCGCCTAGCAGGAAGGTTTTTAACTGTGATGGGATGTGGTGTACGCGACTTGGTTTAGTGTGTTGAATAGAAGCGACGTCGAGAAATTGTTTCCTGGGTTTGTATCGCACGCCGCCGCTACTCTTGAAATGTTGTGCCTGACCGCCTGACCGCCTGCTTTCAAGGGTCGATCACACGTACTTCTAATAATCTTGGTACCTGCCGTGTTTGCGTCCTCCGGTCTCTCTTGCCCCCCACCCCCCCGCCAAAAAAAAAAATAACACTATCAGACCCCGAGGCGTTGCAGCAGCTTGACCTCGTGTCGACCTTCGTGCGCTTCAACAATGAAACCGTCACCGGTGAGCGAGCGACCTCCACTGTGGTCGTGTCTCGTGTCAGCCTGTCGCGAGTAGCCGTGCGCCGCGGAGCAGAACGAGCATCGGTCCCTCGAACGCTAGCGCTTGTACCGTTCACTTCCAACCGGGTTCGCCTGTCGTCAAGCTTGTAGTAGTCGGTGGTGCCGTCGTCGACTGATCGGGGGTGCTGCCGGGCGTGTCGACGCCCATCCAAGGCGGCAGACTTTTCTTTTGTGTGTTGGTCACCTCGCCTTTGTAGCAGTCACCGCGCCGCAAGGACGGGAGCCTCTTTATCTTGTTTTCGCTCTTGTGCCTCGTTCTCCGTTGGTCTCGAGTGGCTTTTGACAGCAGCAGTAGCATCAGCGGACGGAAACGGTCAAGTTGCTGTTTGCTCCTCGCGTGTTTGTCAAGCGGCTCCTGCACGTGTGTGTGTGTGTGTGTGTGTCTGTGTGTCTGTGTCCGTATTGAGTGCTAGGATCGACCGGGCTGATTGATGAGAAGACGTCAGTGCCAGCGGGTACAATCAAGGTTCCTGGAAGGGGGGCAAAGTTCAAAAAATTGCGCATAGTAAAATGAATCTCTCTACAACTTCTTCACAGAGACACGCACTGCCCTCGGATGTGTATGTCTTTTGTTTTCGCCTTTCCTTAGCCGAGTGTGTCCAAAAATTCGGCGACACCGTCTCGGCGCTCCGAGTGGCCAACGGCAGTACGGAGGAAGAGGGGGCGGCGGCCAGCGCGGCGGCCACTGCACAGCTTACCCTTGTCATCGACGCGTTCTTCAGCTGGGGGTACGGATATAGAAGTAGCCTTACTATCATGTCTAAGCAAGCATTGACTACCAGCACCTCCCGCCGAGTCATAAACATAAGAGTACCTCCCCCCCCCTCCCCCCCCCGAGTCTTTGGGGCGCGGAGCTTTTACATATACTACAGCAGTACGTCCATGTTTACCGTCGTCATGGCCCGAACAGTTAAGTCACTGTCACCGCTGCTTGCCTACAGAAGACGGCAACCATCGTGAAGTGATGTTGGAACGATACCGTCGTGCCTTTGCGTACCTCACTTCAGGCGACCTTGGAGTAACCCAACACCTTGTGTATGGTACACGTTTGACATATAGGGTAGCGTCGGTGGAACTTGGGTATCGGCGTTTCTGTTAGTTTCTCAGCAAACTCCAGCGGCACATGTGTATTTTTTCCACATCATTCTCTTCGTCAAATCTTCGGTTGGTGCATCTGCGTGTAGGGTTGTATGTACAACAGTAGTTGGTTGCAGTACTCCTGCTGCTCTAAAAAGCGCAAGGTTTGACCTTTTTCGTCTTGTCAATGTGGAAACGACCTTAAAACAGCATCATCGCTTGGAGGCAGACGACGATTATCAAGAAGGTGGCAACCCCCCCCCGATTCCCTTCTCTTCACGTTAAAACAGATCTCGGTCTCCTAAGTCTAATTATTGTGTGCTGTGTTGTGCTTTGGTCGCCCCCCCCCCACGAAAAGGTACCACTGGCGGCTCCCCTACACGGGGCTGACGGAGGACGAGGTCGTCGCCCACCTTCAGGCGGCCAGGGAGTTCACCTTCTCCGACGCCGACCCCACCGACTGCATCGCCACCGCGGTCGCGGGGGGTAGCCCGGCGTGCTGCCTGAGCTGGGCGGCCACGAAGCTGGAGACCGACCTCATCTTCGCCGGGGTGGACGACAACGATGGTTCCATCAAGGTGTTTGATTGTTTGTTCCTTTCTTTATTTGTTTTCGTGCCGGTAGATGTATGTCAGGTGGTGATGAAGTATCTCGGCGCGTTTGGCGTGGAAACTAAGGCTTGCAACATTTCGTTTATCGTTCATGCCTGTCGACGTAGGTCAGGGAAGATGAAGTGTCTCAGCGTGTTTGGCGTGGTGGCGTGGAACTAAAGCTTGCATGTGTCTCCGTAGGTGATGTTTCATGTTCATCTCTGTATATCATGTATATCACACTAAATGAGCATCTCCGTAGATCAACAAGTACCTCTCTTTGTCACCCATGGAGCTCTTGAAGTTGTGGAAGTCTCCCCTTTGTCTGCGGTAGAATGGTTTAGACACGGTGCCAGATCAGGCGGGCTACTGACGGATTGCATGCTCTTTTTGACACCTTCGCTTACTGCCTTCTCTTCTGGTGAACGTGTCTGTCGTTGCGCGATGTGTGGCAATTCCGCAGTACCTCATGACAAGCCAAGCAAACTTCCCCATCAACCACCCGGCGTGGATCAGCACGATGGAAGACAGAGGGGTCACGACCGAGGAGGGCAGAGAGGCAATTGCCCTGTGAGCTTCAGCCATCGCCTCTGTGTGTGTGTGTGTGTGTGCGGGTTTCCTAATTAGTTTCGACCGCTCTAACCGGCTGACCATTGACAAGACGTCGGTCAGTCTTGTAAGTGTGTGATCGTGTGTTTCTCGACAACCAACGAAGTACTGAACATTTCGTTTCGATTTGTTTCGTTTCGATTTGTTTCGTTTCGATTTGTTTCGTTTCGATTTGATTCGTTTCCTTCCCGCCGCGCGTGCGCACGCGCTGTTCCCGCACGCGATGACCTGTCTGGCGTTGTGGGCGGAGAGCTGTTCAACGATGATGACTTTGTTGGGATTGTTGTTCTTGCTGCTGTTGTTGTTTTCCTTGCTGCTGTTGTTGTTTCTGTATGTTCTGTGTTTGCCGGTGGGTAAAGGGTAGATGTTGTAGTGTTTGGTGGTGGTGATGGTGATGGTGATGGTGATGGTGATGGTGATGGTGGTTCTTGTGAACGTCACCGCGATGAAGCCATGCTTGCTTTTCAGGCGCGATCACTGCTCTGTAGTATACCTACCCTGCTTGGAAGAACACAGGATTCATTGGTTTTCTCCTGAGAGTCCCAGCGGGTCGGATGCCCGTGCTACAGCCTGTTAGTGTGGTTGTTCGCATCACGGCAGCATTGAAACACGTCTCTGTGTACTCGTGGTTTCCTTGACATGCAACCGCGAGAGAGCCGTAGGTGTGTATCTCAAAACGTCTTAGAACGTGCAAGGCCAGGCTGAAATGCTCTGGCCTGGCGTTATATTAAGCCAAGAAGGATGGATAATTTACGTGCGGCTCTGGTGAAAAAATCGGCTTGTCGGAGCTCTCTCACTTTTGTTTCGTGTATGGCATGCCACCTACCCCGTCCCGTCCATGCATGATAAACAGGGGGTGGGAGGCCGCGATGGTCGACGACATGACGCCGCGGTTCGAGGGAGAGGCAGGGAGCGGCTTCGGCGAGGGGGAGACGTTCGAGGAGGTCGACCTCGACTTCTTCGTGAAGAGGAGCGGCGACGACATCATTGAGAACGGCAACATCCCGGAGCCCTACCTGATCATCATCGCCTACCTGGGCATGGTTATCTTCGCGGCCGTCTCCATGGGCTCGTGGAAGTTTTCGGAGCCCAAGTCGGTCGCGCTGTACTCGCGGGTGTTGCTGTCCCTGGGAGGCATGTTTGTGGTGGCGCTGTCGACGGCGGCGTGCCTAGGCTTCATCAGCGCCCTCAGCATCCCGCTTACCCCGCTGTCGGTCTCCGTCGTGCCCTTCCTGTCTCTGGGCATCGGCATCGACGACATGATCATCTTCATCTACACGCTCGTGAGTGGTATTTTAGTCGCTCTCTCTCTCACTCAAGTGCGACTTGGTGTGGTGTTTTGAGTCATGGGCCTTCTTGCGCGGGTCGTATCCGTAGCCTCGTTTCCGTCAATGATGTTTCCTCTCGAAGGTGAAGACTCTTCTGTCAAAATTGAGCGAAGGATTGTCAAGGCTGCCATCCGTGCAATCACGGGTAGGGAATAAAGGTCATACACCGCTGAGTGCACCCCACGTGCTCCTCGCAATCTCGTGCTGCTGCTACGGTCTCGTAATTTACATAAGCATCACAGGCACCCAACGAGGCAGTCTTCATGTCGAAAGAGGTCACTATCCCCCCTTCACCCCCCCCGCCTCCTTCAATAAAATGTCGCAATGGCTCTCGCGTGGTATCTGGCGTAGCAAGTAAGGCATTGCAAAACATTAGTACGCCCCCCACCCCCCTCGGTGTTTGCCATCGGGGTTGGGTTTCGTCGCTTGGCAACGACGTTGTAAAACAAGCCAATTCACCTCGTGAGCTCGGCAACCAGGTTACCGTTTTTTTCTGTACCTGTCTTTTTTTTGGCGGTAACCATAATGGTGGTCGAGTAGATCATGTCGTGCGGGGACGACAACCCTCGCTCCGCGCAAGGGGGATGATCGCGCCACGTTGTGTTAGAATCGTCAAGCACCCTCGACGCAGTTACACAGTGCTAACAACTGTCTGGAAGTGAAAGCACCAAATAATAAATTAAGTCATACACAGATGTCATCCGTACGCAGAGAAGTATGCACAAGATGCCGAACACCCTTAGTAGGATGCAGCGCACCCTTCATGCGACTCGCCGAATA